CCTCTCCACTTCAAATAATAATAATAATAATAATGGATTAGTCTTATATAGCGCTTTTCGAGACCCTCAAAGACGCTTTACAATTTTGTTTTGTAATGTTTTGTAATTCATGTATCTATTAACACCCTTTAAAATTAGATGTTTAGCCTGAAGTCTGTAATTTTGACACAATTTAGAACAGATTTTTATGAAGAGCAAATCTTTCCCACTGAATYGGTCATGTGACTAGAACATAAGGGTGTCCAAGGACTCCAGGGGATTAATCGTCAAATTAATCGTTATCGGCTAAATACCCAAATTGATTTTTTTTGCCAATATTGCCCAACTCTACTGTCGGTACCTTTTCTCAGTACRAAATAAAACTGTATGTTTAAAGGAGTGCCGTGTTTAATTTGGTCTGTGTCCAAAAAGAAAAGCCTGGAATGTCACAGCTGAGTTGCGTGGGTTACAAACCCTTTGTTAACTTAAAAGCTCCTCCTTTGTGTTGAATAAAGGGAAGCGTGGTTCAGCAGACCTGTTGGGCCTACGTGCTGGGAACTCAGATGACAGTACACGTTAGACTCCAGAGCTGCAGTGAGGTTTTTGATTACAGTTCATGCAGATTTAAGAGAAAAAWCAAGAATAGCAAGTTTTTTTTCTAGTGCCGCCCTTTTTGTGAATCACTTGTTTTTCCAGTCCTTCCTTCATTTGCAAAGATCAAATCCACATTTATTGTTTTGGCAATTAAACTCTAAAGTACTTAGCAGGGTGTGTTTTTATACCTCCAGTTTCCATTGGCAGTAAAGTACATGTGATACACTAGTGTTTGCAAATTATTTAAGTCTTATATTTAATTAAACATGGGGCAAAGACAACATATCAGGTGTTTTTACAGTGTTTTGTGTTGTTTRCTAAGTTTGCAATGCTTGATTTTTCTCAATCTCACAAAAAATAGACTTGAAAAAGTTGTGCAAATTTAGGAAAAAGTACACAAAACCATATCTCCAGCTAATGACTTGTACGTTATAACAGAGCAGTGGTGTTATCTTTATTTACAAAACACAAAACCGGAAAGCTGTATCAACACCTAACTTTGAGTGAAATTCCTAACTTCCTTTTGAGCGCAAACAAAATGACAGATTTCGTTCGCTAACTTTTTTATCTGATGTTGCAGATCTCATTTTAAATGTRTTTTAAAATTTGTATGTRGAAAATGTTCAWAAATAATWKTTGTTTTCAACCACGCAGCAGTGTAAAGCACAAAGTATGAAGGGAACGATTCTTCTGCTCAGCCGCAGCCTGAGCCGCGCGGCTCCTGTTCTCCGACGGAGCATCCACTCCGGTGCYCGTCCGGCCTCCGCCATCGCCTCCAAGCTGAGGACAGAACGTCCGCTCACCTCAGAGGAGATTTACGCCCGCGAGGACAAGTATGGAGCTCACAACTACCATCCCCTGCCTGTGGCCTTGGAGCGAGGGACGGGTGAGTTCATGCTGTAAACTGGTGAAAAGTCAAAGCTGAGACTTTACAATCATTTTTCTTTTTTTATATATAATTGTCAGGCATCTATGTGTGGGAYGTTGAAGGGAACCGATATTACGACTTCCTCAGTGCCTACAGTGCAGTAAACCAGGGACACTGCCACCCTAAGATTGTTGCTGCGCTCACTGCGCAGGCTTCTAAACTCACCCTGACCTCCAGAGCGTTCTACAACGACGTGCTGGGCGCTTACGAAGAGTACATCACCAGCTTGTTTGGATATGACAAAGTATTACCAATGAATACAGGTAAATCTAAATGGGCATGTTGTCCTGTTTTTTAAATTTCCCATATATTTTTGCAGTCTACTTTTTAGGGGTGTAAGAAAATATCGATATCTGAAATATCGCAATATTTCATTTCCCGATACTGTATCAATGTTCTAAAGCCCTGTATCGATTTTTATTAAGGTTTAAAATGTCAACTTTCCTGCCAGCYGTTCATTTTTATGTTGTAGTTCAGCCTCTGACCACTAGTTGGCAGCAGTGAGCCATACATTTGGCTCCTCTACCTCTTGAGCACCAGAGAGTAAGGGTAGCATTAGCGCTGTGAGTAAACGTTAGCTTTATGCTGCGATAGCTGAAGCTGAGCAGAAAAGACCGACACCCTCTGCTTTCTAAGCTGAGGTAAGGTTACGAACATTTACTTACTTTTCAGAGTGTCTGTATTTTAAGCCAAATTAAGTGTTTTGTGCGCTCTTTTTTTCCAACTGTAGTCACGTTACGGAAGGCAGGCAGGCATGCGTATATAGCGCATGCGTCTCTAGCACCTTGAGCGAGCTCGGCACGCCCCCGTGACATAAAACTCTGTCTGTTTCTCTCAATGTCCGGCTGATGATCGCATCCAAGTCCATATACCTTAACTTTATCCTGCTGTGTTCGCTTCAAAAACGGTTTAACTGCGTTGTTAAGCTTCTCCATTTATTTACTGTTTATTTTCGGGACCTGCCCTGCTGTTCGACCCACAGTTCTGCAAATCAGGTTCTGGATGCAGGTCAGCTGATCCCAGAAACTCTGTGCAGCAGCTTCATATCATCTGTTTACTGAACTTTATGACAACATAAACGCTATTGTTAAGTGTTGGGTGACCATATTGTAAATTAATATTAAAAACTAAAAGGTGCAAAAAATATATTTTCAAACTATTTATTGTCAAATTTAGTCTAATTATTGAAAACATGGATAAAATATGAAACAAATAAAAAAAATACATACAAAGCAGAACACAGCTAAATGTATCAAAACTATGTCTATGTGATATTAGAATTTTCTGAGACAATGAATTTTGGTTTTTCTTTTTTTTTTTACTTCCCCCCAGTAAGTGGTTTTTATTTAATAGAATTTTTGGACAAATATATCGCAATATATTGCCTTGCTTACAGTATCGCAATATATCGGGATATATCGTATCGTGACCCCTCTGTCATGATATGTATCGTATCACCAAATTCTTGCCAATACACAGCCCTACTACTTTTGCACATTTTATGCAACTTTAACAATTCAAATATCAAAACATTCACCTATTCAGGAAATGTGCGCTAATATTGTTTTTGTGTTTGGTAATTTTTACTTTTTGTTTAAATATTTACCTTTTATGTCCAAATATTTTACCGTTGAACTACATTGAGATCTCTTTAATTCTTTCAAACACGGTTTACTTCAAAATCTGTTACAGCAGATTTTTTATTTTTGTACCCTTCTTGCTTATTATTTACATTATTTAACCAGGCAAATCCCTTTTGAGATCACAGATCTCTTTTGCAAGGGCGGCCTKGGCCTGAAGGCAACGTGTTTTACTTATTTGTGCTGTGGGGGAAACTGGAGTACCCGGAGAAAACCCACACAAGCACGAGGGGAACATGCAAACTCCACCCTGGTCCGAACCGGGGATTGAACCCAGGACCTTCTTGCTGTGAGGCGACTGTGCTAACCACTGAGCTGTCGTGCTTCTCTTGCTTACTTTCACGTTCTAGCCAGACTCTTGCTAATTTTAGCTATTAGCTAGCCTTTAGCTACTTTTAATTTTTGTCTCCCAACTAGTGTTCTGCTTTTGTTTAGCTTTAACAATCAGTTTCAGCTTTTCCAGAAAACCTTCTGCAGTCATTCACGCTGCGTTTTCACAACAAATGCTTTTTCTCAAGTTAAGATTTGCTTTTTTATTACAATTTAGGGGTTGAAGCTGGCGAGACTGCCTGTAAGCTTGCAAGAAAGTGGGCCTACAACGTAAAGGGAGTTCCAAAAAATCAGGCTAAAATCATTTTTGCAGGTAAGTCACGAGCTGGACACATGAGTGGAAGAAAAAAAAAATTTTTTTTCAGTAAAGTAAAAGTAAATTTTGAAACATGCTACTCTGTTGACATCATTTACATATTTCTACATTGAGACAAATTCTATCAAAGAAGGCAATAACTTCAGTACTGTTTGATTTACCTTTTTTTTAAATTCAGTTGTTTAAAGTTTATTGAAAACCTGAGAAACGTCTCATCTTGTTTTTCAGAGGGGAACTTCTGGGGCCGCACCATGGCGGCCATTTCCAGCTCGACTGACCCCAGCAGCTATGAGGGTTTTGGTCCCTTCATGCCCGGCTTCGAGCTCATCCCTTACAACGACATTCCTGCACTGGAGGTACAMGTTTCTTATTACTAAAGTTAATCAATATAGAAATGAAAGACAGCACAGTGAAAAGGTATTTGAAAGTTTAAAGCTGAAAATATGAACTTTGATCCATGCTAGCTGTCAGAGGGATTTTTAATAAGTTGTTCACTGGATGCTTAATTATTGTACACATCTGCTAAAAGCCTACTACCTTTGTGGGGGTTTTTGTTTGTTTTTGTTTTATAAGTACTTTTTAGCTTTATATTATGTTCAGTTACAGTAAGTTTTGTAGAGCTAAAATTTTATTTTTTATCAGATTTTCTTAAAAACTACAGATAAAAAAAGCATCCCTCCCTCCCTCTTTTTTTTTTTTTTAATTCCTAGAAAGCCCTTCAAGACCCAAATGTTGCAGCCTTCATGGTGGAGCCCATCCAGGGAGAAGCTGGTGTTGTGGTTCCTGACCCGGGCTACCTGACTAAAGTCAGGGAACTTTGCACAAAATCCAATGTGAGTAAAGCAGACAGGAACCATCCCAGGTGACTCAGCTGGTGTTAGTGTGAGGAATAACACCAGAAGAAACATGTTGATATTAAAATGCTAAAAAAAATGTAGTTTAAAAGAGTATTGCAAAAAGTATGAGGTACATGAGATAACAAWATGCTAATCAGGCTACACTGCTTCTTTCCCAGAGTAAATAAATAAAAGTTATGTAAAATGCCCAACTGTCACCCAGACAGTTTGTACTGAGCAGGTTTCAGTTCTTGCAGAGCATTCTTTCCCAAATGTGGGAACCGTGACGGCTGCATATCTTGTTGCAGAACTGATAAAAAAGTTACAAGATCAGGGCTGCAGAACGTTACTGTTACAGCTCAGCTGGTTGGAATGTAACCATGTAGGTTTGTGTCAGCGCACACTATGAATAAATCTTTTCATGTTTAAAAAACTTAGTTTGGAATGGCTGCTGTCACATTTAAACTATAAACTGCTTTCCAGTTTTTAATAGCTGCAGCTTTGCAAAATCTATTTAAATTGGTTATAAAACAAATGGAGCATCAGGTCAACCAAGCTGTTTTTTGCAGCCACAGACACACAGTGCCTTTAAAATAAAAAATAAAAAAAATAAAAATTTCATTAAACCTGGTGTCAGGCTGTTGCCAGATTCTTGTTCAGTGATTTCTTGGCTTTTGTGTAAATTACCCTGAAATGGCTTTTAGCACTTAATAAATAAAGCGCTAACGTGGTGTTGACTAATAATCTTGATAAGTGTGATATTTTCTGGGTTTCTTACCACTCCGCTCTGTGGTCTGTCCAGGTGTTGTGGATTGCTGATGAGGTGCAGACGGGCCTGGCGCGGACCGGCCGCCGGCTGGCTGTGGACCACGAGGGAGTTCGCCCGGATGTGGTGATGCTGGGCAAAGCTCTCTCAGGAGGAACTTATCCTGTGAGTCTTTAACTCACATTTTGATTTTATACAACAGAAGCTGTCCAGCATTATTAAACATCAGGGTTTAAGCTGGTTGAAGTTACATTTGTTTGAATTCCTCCGCCTCCTCCAGGTGTCTGCTGTGCTGTGTGACGATGAGATAATGCTGACCATCAAGCCCGGGGAGCACGGCTCCACGTATGGAGGAAACCCCGTGGCTTGCCATGTTGCTATTGCTTCATTGGAGGTTAGTGTTGAAGCGCAGTTTGTTTATTACCATTTTAATCTTTTTTTGTCATCAAAACACTAGAGAGGTTGTTTAGACTTTGTATTAAGAATCCTCCAGAAAAGTTTCGGCTGATTTGCAGGTCAGCTCTGACGCTCAAACACTGAAGATTTGAACCTGTAAAAAGAAAATCTGATTAATGTTTGAGACACTTTCCTCATCATTAAGGTGTATTTTTTTTAACTTGTTTTCATTTGTAGGTGATGGAGGAGGAGAAGCTTGCAGAAAATGCTCAAAGGATGGGAAATTTGTTGCGAGCTGAGCTGAATAAGCTGCCCAAAGACATCGTGACAACGGTCAGAGGGAAAGGCCTCCTCAACGCAGTCGTCATCAAGGAGACCAAAGGTGAAATACTGAGCTGTCTTTGCAACTGCATATTTTATTTAAACCATTTAATCTCATGATAAATTAAAATAAGGGTTTAAACAAAAATAAAATTTGTTGCAGTGGCAGGTTTTATACATTTTAACATTAACTGAATCAGAAAAGAGCAAAGAAAAAGACATGAAATAAAAAAAAAAAACATTAAAAAACAAACTGTTACATAATTTTTACTCTACCCCGTCCAGACTACGATGCCTGGAAGGTCTGCCTGCGCCTCCGTGACAACGGACTGCTTGCCAAGCCCACCCACGGCGACATCATCCGACTGGCCCCGCCCCTCATCATCAACGAGCACGAGCTGCGCGAGTGCATCGATATCATCCAGAGAACCATCATGTCCTTCTAAACAACAAATCACCAGCGCAATCAACTGACACCCCATCAACCCAAAGCTCGGCTCGTCACCAAACATTTTCATTGGCTTTTACTTTGTTTTCATTCGTAACTTAAAGGTGAATATTTTAAGAATTGGTTTTTAGTGAAAAGAAGGGTGTTTGAGTAGTGTTTACAGAGCGAATGTCTGTGATGATCTACTGAAAAGCTGCTGTTAGGACAAAGAGTTGCCTCAGGAAAGATTTAAGACTGGTTAAAGATTGTGTTTTTGGAGTGTTGAGTTTACCTTTTACATCATAATAGCTGATGTATTTGTTGTTTTTACATAAATGCTCAGTTTTCTTTTTCAAGAATTAGTATTGTAGCATGCAGGAAGGTAAAGAAAGCCCTCTGTAGGACTGTGAAGGAAGTGCACCTTCTCGCTGAAACTGAGATGTGATCTCTGGGTCTAGCGTGAGATAAATTTACAAATCTAGTTTACTGCAGATAGTTGGAAATGCTGCTGTCGGCTGACAATTTGTGGAACCAATATTGTTACACAAAAGATTGTAAAAAATTAATATATTTAATTTTGCACATAAATTTTGTCACTTTTGAAGAACTGCTAATTTATGTCTTAAAGGACCACCTTTTATTACCTGTCGCTGTAATTCAAAATGTTGTGCTGTATGTAGTATCTACTGGAAAAAGACAAAAACTAAAATCTTTGAGCCTGAATCTGAGTAATTTGCGATATTTAAAAGAGACGAAGCTGTTTGAAGAGCACACTGCTGGCTTTGATTGAAGTCTGCTGTATGTACAGTATGTATGTAAAAGATTGTATTTTAAGAAAAACATCTGACATTGTTACAAAACCTAGTATTCTTCAAATAAATGATCCCAGTGTCCCACCGTTTGACTTATTATTCTGAGTCACAAACCAAAGTAATGTGGTGTTCAAGAGAGTCAGAGGTGTACAGTGATTAAGTACATTTACTTCGTTACAGTATGTTTTTAATCACAACTTTTACATTTTCAATAGGTTCAAAACATAAAAATGATACTTCTTTAATATTTAACGTCACCTTAAACGCTACTAATATAAATATGACTGGAACTCATGAAACGTCATTCATGCACTCTAAAAAAATAAAAGTATTGAATTATTGATTGAAACAGTTGAGTTATGTCAACTGGTTCTACTAAACCAAGTTTATTGGAACCAGTTGACAACTTGGTAAGGTAAATTCAATATTTAATTTCTTAGCGTGTGTGTGTAAAAGTACTTTTACAATTATTGTGGGAAGTTTTATGACTTTTACTCTGAGGTGGGTAGAGTACCCAAATATTTATTCATGTAAGCGTAGCACTACTTCAACATATTTTTTACTCAAGTGAAAGTAAAAAGTAGCCATCCAAGAAATGGCTTGAGTAAGAGTAAAAAAGTATTTGGTAAAAAAGGCTAAGTACTGAATACTTGACTAGACATCAATCATTTAGTATTTTAAAATTGCATCATCAGATGGACCAAAAATATAAAGCTATGAGGGAAATTTTGGTGTTTTATAATCAAAATGAAAATAATTCATATAAATAACATAATTACAAAATATTAAATTCAGGCAAAAGAAACATTTTTCCAAATTAGTTTGTTTCAATATAAAAGTTATGAAACTTAAAAAAAAAACTGCCATTGTTTGTGTGTCTAGTGA